AATATTTATAAAAAGTGTAGAAACATAATTTTGCAAACAACATATTCAAATTTTAACAGGTGTTAAAGTTAGAGAGTATCAAAGTTGAATCTTATTTGTTATAAATTTGACATTGGCGAGCCTTTATTTCGTCACTATTTCCAAACTAATAGATTTATAAACTTCAAAATTTCAGAAAATATTTATAAAAAGTGTAGAAACATTATTTTGAGAACAAAATTTTTAAATTTTAACAGCTGTTAAAGATAGAGAGCATCAAAGTTGAATTCCTATTTGTTTAAAGTTGATATTGGAACCTTTGTTTCGTCACTATTTCCAAACCAATAGATTTATAAACTTCAAAATTTCAGAAAATGTTTATAAATAGTGTAGAAACATTATTCTGAAAACAAAATTGTTAAATTTTAACAGCTGTTAAAGATTGAGAGCATTAAAGTTGAATTTCTATTTGTTTATAGTTGAAATTGGAGCCTTTGTTTCGTCACTATTTCCAAACTAATAAGATTTATAAACTTCAAAATTTCAGAAAATATTTATAAAAAGTGTAGAAACATAATTTTGCAAACAACATATTCAAATATTAACAGGTGTTAAAGTTAGAGAGTATCAAAGTTGAATCTTATTTGTTATAAATTTGACATTGGAGCCTGTATTTCGTCACTATTTCCAAACTAATAGATTTATAAACTTCAAAATTTCAGAAAATATTTATAAAAAGTGTAGAAACATAATTTTGCAAACAACATATTCAAATTTTAACAGGTGTTAAAGTTAGAGAGTATCAAAGTTGAATCTTATTTGTTATAAATTTGACATTGGAGCCTTTATTTCGTCACTATTTCCAAACTAACATATTTATAAACTTCAAAATTTCAGAAAATATTTATAAATAGTGTAGAAACATTATTCTGAAAACAAAATTTTTAAATTTTAACAGCTCTTAAAGATAGAGAGCATCAAAGTTGAATTCCTATTTGTTTAAAGTTGATATTGGAACCTTTGTTTCGTCACTATTTCCAAACTAATAGATTTATAAACTTCAAAATTTCAGAAAATATTTATAAAAAGTGTAGAAACATAATTTTGCAAACAACATATTGAAAAATTAACAGGTGTTAAAGTTAGAGAGTATCAAAGTTGAATCTTATTTGTTATAAATTTGACATTGGAGCCTTTATTTCGTCACTATTTCCAAACTAATAGATTTATAAACTTCAAAATTTCAGAAAATATTTATAAAAAGTGTAAAAACATTATTTTGAAAAAAAAATTTTTAAATTTTCACAGCTGTTAAAGATAGAGAGCATCAAATTTGAATTCCTATTTGTTTAAAGTTGATATAGGAACCTTTGTTTCGTCACTATTTCCAAACCAATAGATTTATAAACTTCAAAATTTTAGAAAATATTTATAAAAAGTGTAGAAACATTATTTTGAAAACAAAATTTTTAAATTTTAACAGCTGTTAAAGATAGAGAGCATCAAAGTTGAATTCCTATTTGTTTAAAGTTGAAATTGGAGCCTTTGTTTCGTCACTATTTCCAAACTAATAGATTTATAAACTTCAAAATTTCAGAAAATATTTATAAAAAGTGTAGAAACATAATTTTGCAAACAACATATTCAAAAATTAACAGGTGTTAAAGTTAGAGAGTATCAAAGTTGAATCTTATTTGTTATAAATTTGACATTGGAGCCTTTATTTCGTCACTATTTCCAAACTAATAGATTTATAAACTTCAAAATTTCAGAAAATATTTATAAAAAGTGTAGAAACATTATTCTGAAAACAAAATTGTTAAATTTTAACAGCTGTTAAAGATAGAGAGCATCAAAGTTGAATTCCTATTTGTTTAAAGTTGAAATTGGAGCCTTTGTTTCGTCACTATTTCCAAACTAATAGATTTATAAACTTCAAAATTTCAGAAAATATTTATAAAAAGTGTAGAAACATAATTTTGCAAACAACATATTCAAATTTTAACAGGTGTTAAAGTTAGAGAGTATCAAAGTTGAATCTTATTTGTTATAAATTTAACATTGGAGCCTTTATTTCGTCACTATTTCCAAACTAATAGATTTATAAACTTCAAAATTTCAGAAAATATTTATAAAAAGTGTAGAAACATTATTTTGAGAACAAAATTTTTAAATTTTAACAGCTGTTAAAGATAGAGAGCATCAAAGTTGAATTCCTATTTGTTTAAAGTTGATATTGGAACCTTTGTTTCGTCACTATTTCCAAACCAATAGATTTATAAACTTCAAAATTTCAGAAAATGTTTATAAATAGTGTAGAAACATTATTCTGAAAACAAAATTGTTAAATTTTAACAGCTGTTAAAGATAGAGAGCATCAAAGTTGAATTTCTATTTGTTTATAGTTGAAATTGGAGCCTTTGTTTCGTCACTATTTCCAAACTAATAAGATTTATAAACTTCAAAATTTCAGAAAATATTTATAAAAAGTGTAGAAACATAATTTTGCAAACAACATATTCAAATTTTAACAGGTGTTAAAGTTAGAGAGTATCAAAGTTGAATCTTATTTGTTATAAATTTGACATTGGAGCCTTTATTTCGTCACTATTTCCAAACTAATAGATTTATAAACTTCAAAATTTCAGAAAATATTTATAAAAAGTGTAGAAACATAATTTTGCAAACAACATATTCAAATTTTAACAGGTGTTAAAGTTAGAGAGTATCAAAGTTGAATCTTATTTGTTATAAATTTGACATTGGAGCCTTTATTTCGTCACTATTTCCAAACTAACATATTTATAAACTTCAAAATTTCAGAAAATATTTATAAATAGTGTAGAAACATTATTCTGAAAACAAAATTTTTAAATTTTAACAGCTCTTAAAGATAGAGAGCATCAAAGTTGAATTCCTATTTGTTTAAAGTTGATATTGGAACCTTTGTTTCGTCACTATTTCCAAACTAATAGATTTATAAACTTCAAAATTTCAGAAAATATTTATAAAAAGTGTAGAAACATAATTTTGCAAACAACATATTGAAAAATTAACAGGTGTTAAAGTTAGAGAGTATCAAAGTTGAATCTTATTTGTTATAAATTTGACATTGGAGCCTTTATTTCGTCACTATTTCCAAACTAATAGATTTATAAACTTCAAAATTTCAGAAAATATTTATAAAAAGTGTAAAAACATTATTTTGAAAACAAAATTTTTAAATTTTAACAGCTGTTAAAGATAGAGAGCATCAAATTTGAATTCCTATTTGTTTAAAGTTGATATAGGAACCTTTGTTTCGTCACTATTTCCAAACCAATAGATTTATAAACTTCAAAATTTTAGAAAATATTTATAAAAAGTGTAGAAACATTATTTTGAAAACAAAATTTTTAAATTTTAACAGCTGTTAAAGATAGAGAGCATCAAAGTTGAATTCCTATTTGTTTAAAGTTGAAATTGGAGCCTTTGTTTCGTCACTATTTCCAAACTAATAAGATTTATAAACTTCAAAATTTCAGAAAATATTTATAAAAAGTGTAGAAACATAATTTTGCAAACAACATATTCAAAAATTAACAGGTGTTAAAGTTAGAGAGTATCAAAGTTGAATCTTATTTGTTATAAATTTGACATTGGAGCCTTTATTTCGTCACTATTTCCAAACTAATAGATTTATAAACTTCAAAATTTCAGAAAATATTTATAAAAAGTGTAGAAACATTATTCTGAAAACAAAATTGTTAAATTTTAACAGCTGTTAAAGATAGAGAGCATCAAAGTTGAATTCCTATTTGTTTAAAGTTGAAATTGGAGCCTTTGTTTCGTCACTATTTCCAAACTAATAGATTTATAAACTTCAAAATTTCAGAAAATATTTATAAAAAGTGTAGAAACATAATTTTGCAAACAACATATTCAAATTTTAACAGGTGTTAAAGTTAGAGAGTATCAAAGTTGAATCTTATTTGTTATAAATTTGACATTGGAGCCTTTATTTCGTCACTATTTCCAAACTAATAGATTTATAAACTTCAAAATTTCAGAAAATGTTTATAAATAGTGTAGAAACATTATTCTGAAAACAAAATTTTTAAATTTTAACAGCTGTTAAAGATAGAGAGCATTAAAGTTTTGGGTGGTTTTTCGCGCTTGCCATGAAAACCGCCGAACGGATTTAAACGCCGATTTTTTTTAAAAATCGTCCCGTGGGTCTGCATCTTCGGTCCAAGTTTCATTAAAATCGGTCCATCCGTTCGGACGGTACGATTTTTTAAAGTCGCCCGGAAACCCCTCATACGAAATTTGGTCGAAAAAAAAAAATGGCGTCCGACGCAATTTGTGTGCGTGGTGAGGTAGAGAGAGGCAAAGGGTGTTTAGGAAAAATATCAAAAAAATTATTTGTTTGTAATAAACCGTCGAAAAACGATAAAGAAATTTTCATAACGTCATAAAAAAAGTGACAGTTGATAATTCTCACATAAATTCGGGCCACCTTGGATATCTAGGGCATCTACCACTAACACAATCACCTTTCATAAAATATTTATAATAAATGTAGGAACATAATTTTACAAACAATATTTTTAAATTTTAACAGGTGTTATACTGGTCGTATGCCTAATACAAAAAAATAAGCACTGTATTTCTGTTAATAACGAAAAGCTATTGAAATTCCCTAGAATTTATTATTATGAATTGGATAGTACAATCGACCAGATAAATAGTATTTCCAGATAGGCATTCGATTTAATTTAGTAAAATAGACATGCTAACGGAATCTATGAATATTTCATTAAACTTTTACCATACCAAACCTTAAACAAAACAACCTATAACGATAATCCCGCGTAATGTCCCAATAATTCCGAGAAAGACCTTTAAAAAATCTGACGCGCGCATTGGACTTACGTCTATCAAACTTAAAGGTTAGTTTCAATTTTTAAACACAAACGCTACTGTTCGGTGTCATGTTCAAAATTCCAGTGCAAACCTAACGAAAATGCGTCTAAACAAGCATGGCCCATGGTGTCCCGCTCAGAGAATCAGAAGAAGCTACCCTCTCGTCGAGAGGGTATCATTTGCTACAAAAATTAGGAGAAGGATCTTACGCTCAAGTATTCTTAGCGGAGTTTTTAGGAGATAGTGACGATAAAGATAAGGGTCCCAAGTTTCTTGCATGCAAAATCGTAGACGTAAGCAAAGCTCCTAGGGATTTCGTCAAGAAGTTCCTTCCCAGAGAATTGGATATTCTTGTTAGAATAAATCATCCTCATATCATACATGTGCACAGTATTTTTCAACGAAAGCAGAAGTATTATATATTCATGAGAAACGCCGAAAATGGCGACCTATTAGGTAATTAATTATAAAGTGTGTTCTAACAGTTTTGGCGCAAAATATTTAATTATATATTTTTGTAAGTATAGTTGCAATATTAGTATTAGAAACCGCAATCTAGTCGGGCTCTTCACACTGTTACAGCACGTAGATTAATGTTTCTTCTGGGTTGATAACACTCATGCGCCTTTTTAGGAAAGTATCAAACAAGAAGACTTGCACAAATTCGTTTTCTTTAGAAAGTCTAGTTCTTTCCGAAAGACCTACATCCATTTTCAGTTACTTTGCAAAATGTTTGCTATTCACTGATCTTTAGCAGGCTTGCCCAAACATCTATGGAACACTTGTTACCCAAATTTCGAGATTACAGTGCAGCAGCTTCTCGGAGTGGTCAAAATCAATAAATCGATCAGTCTAAACAAAGTTAGGTTAACGTTACGGTGCGAAAAACCCGCGTTGAGATATTGTGCAACCTGACTAACCATTTCCAATTAACTGGAATACTAGAATGGTGTAGAATTCCAATGTGCATGCTGTATCAAGAGGATTAGGTGTGACTCTAAGGACACAGCCATTTTTATTGTTCATCTTACTAGGGAGTATTTATAATAACTATTTTCTCTTTTATGTTGTAATTCTTTTTGTCCACAATCTGATGGATCAGGATTGTTTAGAGTGAAATAGTTATTATAATTACTTCCTAGATGAAAAGTAAAATAGCTGCGTCCATGAGTCGCACCTCAATCCTATTGACAGGCATTCTACCACACTTCAGTTTATAGGCCATTTCCAACAAATATCTCATCGCCTCTGTTAGGTTAGGTTAGTGAATGTGCCAGTATGTTGCACCTTTTGTGGTGTGGGATTCATAGCTGGTTGTGACTTTTGGAGAATATCAGTTTGATTCTTCTGGTTTAGATCTACTGGAGGAAGCCACAGCCTCTTCAATGTTTTAAAGTATTGCTGTTGCTGCTTGAACAACCAATCTAAATTTGTAGTTTTTTAGAAGAGTCATGATTAACAAATTTAAAAATTTAGTAGCATTGTCAGTTCCCAGTTCATTCCTTAATTTAGACTATGAACAAAATTCGTTCTAATCTGGCAAATGATGCTACTACAGTCAGTATCTTTGAACACATTTCTAAAAAGGTGGGTTGTAAATTTGTCCAATCAAACAGAGCCTTTTAAATCATCTAAATCCAACGTAAGCGCCTTCCACCAAGTCATGGAGATGTGCTTTGAGAGAAGTCAGAGAAATCCCAGACACTAACAGGGATACGTTGCAATCGTGGACATTGGATACATATAATCAACATTGATATTTATCAATAAAAATCAAGATATATATCATGATCTAGCCAGCTTTGCTCTGGCCATCCGTTGAAGTCACTTGTCCCACCAGAAGACGGAACCATACGTAACCATGGGTAAAAATACAGTAGATCAGTTGATGACTGATCCCCATACTTTGTCACATATCCTTCTGAGAGTCTAGAGGAATACTCCGGCTTTGTTGATAGTTGTATCCAATTGGGGATTCCAGGTGAGGATAATCCCCATATATTTCACCTGCTCCGCAAAAGAAATGGTTTTCCCGGTCAAGGTATGTTGTAGAAGCTTTCTTCTCTTAATAGACATCTGCTACCTCTGTTGGTCGTATTTGGGGCTTATTGAAGACCACCTCTTCGTACTTCCTTTTAATTATGATGACTAAATCATCCATGCATAGCATTGGAAATCCACCCCTGAGAAGGTTTGTGGGTTAGAAGAGGTATTTTAACTTCAAAATGCGTTTAATCAAATGAAAAAATAACAAATAAAAACTTATAACTAAAATTATTGTTCTGTCAGGTGCTCGTAACAACGTCTCGAGTCTGACTGTCCACTGCCGGTGTTCGACTGCCCGACCCCGCTCGTTTTCCTTCACTTCGCACACATCACTTACCAGTGGCGTAGCACTTGTGTTTTATAACCACTACACCCCTTGCCGAAAGAGATTGTCTAGTGGGTTACCCACTAGAATGATCCACAGTACGCCTTGTGGGCATCCTCTGTTAGGCAAAAAACTGACTTTCTCTCCCTGCAGTGATGAAATGGTGCATGCTTTTAATCCAATAACCAGTCAGTGTGTCGATTCTTCTTCGTCTTTCATTAGAAGCGAACAGAGACTGAGAAAGGGCGTTCTTCTATGTTTAGGACAGTACCCAGCGCAACCTCCCAGCTCCCATGCTCATCTATGTAGATAGCAGACAAGCACTACTCACCCTGAACAGACCACGAATTTATTCAGGGTTAGTACTAGAATATCACGAAGCTTTGGCCGAAGTATCCATCATCAACGTGGTCACCTTAAGATGGATTAAAGGTCACGCCACATCGAAAGGTTCACTAGCCAAGAAAGCAACCAACCAAACACTTTTTCGACCTGGCCCTTCTATTGGCCTGACAAAATCGGCAGTGACAGACGTAATCAAAGAATATTACCTTCTGAAATTCAAGGAAACATGGGATGACACAAGAAACTGCAGAGTTGCCAGGGAGTTCTTAAGTTATCCTGACAACACTGACATACTTGACTATGACTAGACAGAATCTGCGCCTAGTGACAGGCATTCTGACTAGTCATTGCAAAGTACGAAAGCATCTCCATATCGTGGGGCTGTCAGAATCCGCACTCTGCAGAGGGTGCAAACAAGAAGATGAGACCATCGAACATATCTTTTACGATTGCTCGACGCTCTCATTTATTAGATTTGTGTTCGGCGAGTATCGGCTAACACCGGCCGATATAAAAGAAGCGACGTTATCAGCTACATTAAATCTGTAGGCTGGCTCACAAGCTAGAAGATGCCTATCTTCTTAGGAGGATGCACACTGGGTCTAATGAGGCCTAAGTGCCGTGGGGTAACCCACTCCCCACACGTTACAGATACAGAACCAGTCATTGTGTCGATTCTTCTTCTTTTATTAGAAGCGAACAGATACTGAGGAAGGGCGTTCTTCTATGTTTAGGACGGCACCCAGCGCAATCTCCCAGCGTTTTAGGCTTAAGAATACGTCCATCCACATTATAAATGGTTTTTCTTATTTCTAACTTAGACAGTTTAATGTAACTGACATAAAAACTGTCAAGAAAATAAGTAATTTTGATGTATTATCAGTTTCTTTCAGCGTGAAGAATAGATTGCTTACTGCACTTGTTACACAATATCCTATTATTTAATTAGTTGTATATTTTAGAATACGTCCTTAAAAAAGGACCCATATCCGAAGCACAAAGCAGAGTTTGGTTTCGTCAACTGGCGCTAGCCATTCAATACCTTCATGAATTGGAAATAGCTCATCGCGACTTGAAATGTGAAAATTGTCTGATAACGAATAACTACAATTTGAAATTAGCTGATTTCGGGTTCGCTCGTTTTGTGATCGATCAACAAGGTAGAAAATTGAACAGTGCAACTTATTGTGGATCTTTATCGTATGCGGCGCCCGAAGTGTTAAGAGGAATGCCTTATTATCCGAAAACTGCGGACGTATGGTTAGTTTTCTTGAATGTTATATTACTATATTTTGTTTTTAAATTAGGACGCTTGATATATGAGTACTTAAAAATTGTATGGACGTTTTAGGTCTTTGGGCATCATTCTTTACATCATGACAAACAAAGCCATGCCCTTCGACGACACCAACGTCAAACGGCTGAACGAGCAACAATTGCAGCGCAAATGGAAATTCCGTTCGAAAGTAGTAGATTCATTGAGCGAACAAATTAAAAATTTAATCACTCACTTAATGGAACCGGACGTTCAAAAACGATACAAAATCGATCAGCTATTGGGCTCCGAATGGCTCTCCATGGATCCCAGATTGCTGCAACTCAACCAGGCCGAAGAGCAGGCGTTGACGCAGGCGCAGATCGATCGAAAGAATTACATCGATTCGTTAAAAAACGCGCAGCCCGAAAAGAAAATGGGTATGGAAGATGTCAAAGTTTTTAAAACATCTGATGGAGAATAAGGTAAGATTTGATGTATTAATTAATTTCTAGTACAATCCGAGATTGTCGTTCTTCTACACGATGTCACAAAGGTTGGGCTTAAAGAAGAATTAAGAGAGCAGCCGTTTCAATTTTTCTTTGATTTGTTTTCACTTTAAGGATCCATTTTAAAGCAAACCACATTTCTTACAATTATTTTATTTAATACAAAAATACACAATTTGTATCATATTAAATTCATTTTAACTTAACTTGTAACCATTTTAACTTAACTATTAACATTTTAACTCTATAAATCAGGAGCTGTGGAGTTCTTCATTGAATTTTTCCAATGTAACATCGCAGACTTGCATCAAATCCTCTAGACCCTTCTTCAGTGCGTCTATGGCTTTGCCGTTGTGCATTTGTATTCGGAAATGCATTTTAGATTCGGCTGGATGCGGTACTGTGTAGCCGCAAAATTGTACTTCCGGGCTACAAAAAAATTATAACATTTGTATCGACAGAAGTGTTGGAAGTTCTAATAAATACTTTTACAACGTGTTCACCATTGTAATGATGTGGAATCGGTGACGATAATTTGTCAACCGCTTTAATGCTGTTCAAATCTTGGTGGATGATTATAAAAGTTCAAACAGAATATAATTTCAGATACAATAGGTGTGAGTAGCACCTTCCACGAGTACTTTAAATTAAAAAATCTCTAAGGCGAAAGAGGTATTGGAATTCCCTTCAAAATGAGCTTCTGAACAAATAGATATTGTTAAAATTAAGGAAGTTATTGATAAAATACCAATCAGGTTTTTCAGTAAAAATTTTGGAAGCATATAAATTGCTGTATTCTCTACATATGTTTTGGTATCCATATATGTTTCAACTAAATCCTAATACGTTCTCAGCTATTCTTGATCAGATGCGTTATGAACACTGTATTAAGACTCACTAAAAACAGTAACTTGCATCCCTTTTTCCAACAGTTGATGCTATAATGAGCACATTAAGAGGGTTTTTTAACAAACCCAAATGTGGCAAATGTGTCTACACCAGAAGAACTCTTACACCACTATGTTTGTGCCAAATATATTTCAGTTTATAGAAGTAACTTCTAAACAAGGGATACAAACAGTTGCATTTATAAATAATACAAATGCAGAAGGAATTAGTTGCGTTTCCATGAAAGTTATTAAGACAATTGCCCCATACATTTAGTCCAGTAACTGAAGGGTCAAACCTGTAGATAATTCGCTGATGAGTTCCCACATAGCGAAATTTGTAGGTCATCACAGGTGTTTTTAAACGAGAAAATCCTTAACGCGTTCTCGGTACCGGAAGGGTCTGAAAATGGACCCCTAAAACCTGGAAAATGGGTTTCCCCGCTAATATCTGACTGAATATGCCAATTAGAGAATTTTTGTTCAGACAAAAAATGAAGATCAGCTTATTATCTTCAAAAATGGCCTTCATTATTTTCTTCGAAAATTCAATAGTTTTCGAGATAATGGCACTCAAAAGTCCCATCATTTCAGCTGCTGCTCTACCTGCAGGAATTCTGCTTTCTATGAATTAAAGTGTAAGCGGGAGGACGAATTGTTCCATATCTCGAGAAAAAATTGATATTTTTCGATGATTGTTGATTGATGATTTTTTTGTTTAACCATTTACTTGTTCCCCGATCTTTATTTTTTGAGGATTAATAACTAGATCAAAGTAAAGCTTGTATTCTGACCTTTCCATTGATATAAGTCAATCCCCATATCCGTTCTTGGTTCTAAAAAGGTTGTTACAATTATATACTTCATTTTTACGCTCCCCCTCTGAGATCCATGATATTGTATATAACCAAAGAGTACAAAATATAACTATAAAAGAGAAAGTTACTCGCGGCATTTAGAAAGGAAGTCGGCGTTTTTTCAAAGAGTACAGCAGGCAGATTCCCATTGACAATTCGATATCGAAATACTCGATTTCGACAGTTTGGTGAATTCCGATTTGCGGAAAATCATATTCGCATCGACTAAAACGATTGCGAGTCACTCGGCAGCTCTATGGTGCCGAATTGCTCGATTTCGGTAGATTATTGAGGTTATAGCACGTGGTTGTAGAGGTTGTAGCCTTGTAGAGGTTGTGATTTCTATTTGAAATTTGAAGAGTTTAAAGCATTGACACTGTTGATTATTCTGTGTCATTGATATAAGAAATTCTTGAGAATTTTGAGAATATAAGTAAAAGGTCTGCCTTAAAAAATAATAATGTAAGTACCTATAATTAACTGTTAAATTGAAACAAACTAGCACAAAACTATTATAGGTAATTATGAGGGGATGAATTTAATTTAACTTAATTTAAGAATTAAGTCCTGCTATTGGCTGTGATCACCTTATTGGCTGCTCTTGCGTTAAATTAAATTGTGTGCATAACCATTCCTTTAGAAAGACAATGTCAGTTTGGATGGCATTAGGTTTGTTCGGGTTTCCTTAAAACTCGATGCAAACCGTCCGAGAACTAGTGGAACAGTTCATTTCTAAAGTATACGTCGCACACAACTATTAACCCAGCAAACATTTTGGTGTAATTTGACGTCGATACTACCTAAATTATATATAATAAATTTGGTCGCAAAATTAGATTTAACCATAATTAAGTAAAATTTACGTTGGCTCGACGTGGATTCGACATAAGTGGATAATAAGACGACGTCGAAATTTGGTTTTATTTACCAAAATAGGTAGAATTACATCTAAATCCACATTGTAGTAGCCCAGTATGTTTGGTTAGTAATACCTCTCTAGGGAAATTTGACGTCAGTATAACGTTAATTCGACGTTGATTTAACTAAGTTTAGGTAGAAACTACCAAAATATTTGCAGATGACGTATGCCTCCAAGTGTACGAAAAGAAATTTTATACTTATTTGGTATTTCTATCTATATATAAGTAGAAATCTTAGATTAAAGAGACCGAAGATGTAACATTGCACACTGCGCATGTTGTCTATTTTAAGCCAAAGTAACCCACCAATTGAAAATCATTGTTGCACGACGTCACCCGAATTGCTCCGATTTCCATTCAGCGATCACCTCCACCTGAGTTTAATCACCATTGACAGCTGTTTTTTGATTTATTTGTTGGTATTTTAGCAATTTAAAGTGTTCTAGTTATTCAATTTCAAGTTCAAAATGTCACGATGTATCTTGAAAAATTGTATGTACTTATAATACAAGTACTACTGTTATGAATATATTCATTTTCAGCGGTAAATATTTATTAACGTTTTGACATAAAGCGCCATGATTCTCTGGGCTGAATACTGGGCTGGGCTGATCCGCATTAAGGGGTTTCAATAAATATTAAGCATCAGAAATCAGATATCATATTACTTACATAAATTTACAAAAGGGTAAAATTTTGAACATTTAATTTAAATAAATAGTAAATAGGCATTATTGCTAACGAAATTTTGTATTTAAAAAGTAGTTTTATAAGAATGTTTTCTAAAGGTAGTTTTTAGCCCTTTTTGGTAGATAAATAAGAGGTAAAGAATCATAGTTGCTAGCTAAATTTTATTTTTATAAGGTATTTTTATAAGAATATTAGATGAAATACAGGATGACCTACTTAAAATTTCAAGGTTCATCTTATTTGCGGTCAAATCAAAAGTGACATTGAATTTTAAGTAATCTAGTATAAGCAAAAAAAAATACTAAAGTTACAGGAGTTAGGTCCGATTCCACCGTTGTGTTAAACGGAGATTAAAATGACAGTGTTAATGTAAAAATGTCATTTTAAACTTCGTTTAACACAATGGTGGAATCAACCCTTAGTCACGTTAATAAAATGTTACATTACAAACCCCTAAACAACTCGAACATAATTTTCGTTAACTAAAAAAAATCCAAAATTTATCAATATTTATTTATTATACAATCGAATGCGATTTCAAAGATAACTGGATCAAAAAATCCGAATCTCTAAATTTTGGAGCTAAATGCTCAGATAAAAGCAAGCGACCGATAGGGGTTACAAAAATAATCGATTTATCGATAATTCTGATATTTTTTAATGAAAATCGATTTATCCGCTGTTTTTAATAAATTATTTCCGTTTTTTTTAAGATAATGTGTTAATCGATTTTAAAGGAAATACAAAAAAGTAGATTTATTCAAAATAATCGATTTATCGTTTAATCGGTTTTTTAATTATTTGATTATTTTCGATTTTTCAAAGATATTATATGAAAATAATCGATTGGATATAATCGGTTATTTTACATAATCGATATTTTGGTTATTTTTTTAAAATTATCGATTTATTGGATAATCAGCTTTTTAATAATCAATTATTTTCGATAATCGAATAATCAATTTCAAATAAAAGGAAATATGAAAAAAGGATTATTAGAAAATAATAGATAATTCGTTCTATTTTTTGGAAAATCGATTTATCATAGAATCGGCTTCTTAATTAATTGGTTATTTTCGATTAGGCGATTATTTTGGAATTATTGATTATTTTTGGTATTTCAAAGATAATCGAATTATCGATTTTAAAGGAAATACAATAAAAATAGATTATTGATAATAATCGATTGATCGAAAATTATCGATTATTTAAAATAATCGATCATTCTGTTTTTTTTTTTGAAAATCGATTTGTCAGTTAATCGACTTTTTAATTAATCGATTATTTTTGAAATACAATAAAATAGATTATTGGTAATAATCGATTTATCATAGAATCGGCTTCTTAATTAATTGATTATTTTCGATTAGGCGATTATTTTGGAATTATCGATTATTTTCGGTATTTCAAAGATAATCGAATTAACGATTTTAAAGGAAATACAATAAAAATAGATTATTGATAATAATCGATTGATCGAAAATAATCAATTATTTAAAATAATCGATCATTCTGTTTTTTTTTTTAATCGATTTATCAGTTAATCGACTTTTTAATTAATAGATTATTTTTGATTAATCGATTATTTTCGATTTTTCAAAGATTATCGAATAATTTGTTTCCATGGACGAAAAAAAAATGGTTTATTTGAAAATAATCGATTATTTAAAATAAACGATAATTCTATTTATATTATATTTTGTAAACACTGATTTATCGGTTAATTGGCTTTTTAATTAATCGATTATTTTTGATTTTTCAAAGATAATCAAGTAGTCGATTTTAAAGGAAATGACAAAAAATATATTGTTTGAAAATAATCTATTGATCGAAAATAATCGATTATTTTCAATGATCGATAATTTATTTCGATAATCACTCATCCCTAGCGACCAAATGACTTTTAACAGATTAAAATTTTAAAATGTTATCTGGTTTCAGACATATGCATTTCTAGAGTTTTATGTGACTCATCCTTTATAATAATTAATATTCTTAAAGAAAGAAGCCTTAATATACTTTTTTCTGAGGTTACAATACAAAACAGCATTTTCTCATTTTGACTAATTTTTAAT